TCCGTTACTTTCTCCACCTGAAATTCACATTTATCTCTTTGAGTAGTCATGTCAAGAGAGTTTTTTTCCCCTGTGGTCTTTCGCCTCACCCCACTCACCGATCAAAATCCAATATTCATGACCATATGCGCCTCTAACCAACCAACCAACCAAATACATGAATTAATATCACAATTCCAATTTCTGATTCTCAATTGCTGACCAAAAGAATGGCAGTTGTAATAATCGGCGAAATTCGTCTCATTTCACGTCAAAGTCACTCACAAAAATCCAGCAGTATTACACCACTCTGCAAACAACACAACACAATTTGATAATGCCAGCCCGACACAAGATAAAAGCAAATTAATGAGCACACAGTAAAAAGTAAATAAGTTGATGTATGCTTGATTTGTGATCACTAGTGATTAGTAGTTGTTGGCGGTGAGCAATAGGAAAGATCTGGCCTTTACACACAACGCAGTTACGTGGCACATGATGTGGATGTTAGTTAAACTGAATTGAATGTTACTGTCTGATAGTGAGCTTCATGAAGTGTCACTGTACAACGCTACAATTCAAAATGTCATCATTGAATTCATGGGCATATCAATATATCACCAAGAGCATCGAGGACAGGCAACACCAGCAATTCGTTTGATACTAACAATGATGACAATACTAAAAAACTTTGTGACAATCGTTACTAAAAGGATTTATAACAATCTTTATTATGGGGTGATAACATCAATAACAATAGAAGTGACACGTATTACTTCATTGATATTATATCATAGTGATCACAGTGTGAATAGTTATANGTATGTTGTTATGATAGCGCATCAAGAATTATTCATGCGCATATTCAAGATTTCCTGAAGGAGCTTATCTGTACAAAAGTACGATATCCGGTTTTTCGAATCACTTTAAAGCATTCCAATAATACTGGGGATGAATCGAACAACTTCGTTCTGGGTACATGGAAAAGAATACAACAATTTCAACTGGAAGAATTCGTATCAGGATTCTAGGATTATTTTTCTAAACCTCTTCAACTAAAGGAATTATTGAACTCAGTATAACAAGTCATTTATTATTTCTCATCCATCAATCGCATTCGATTGAAATTCCAGCTGAAGTAATGAGATAAGGAGGCATACTCTCATTTTCAACTTCGATCACTGTGTATACAAAGCCATGAAATTTCAATATTTTGTTTGCCGATAGAATTAGAATTAGTGATGTTTTAGCAGAGGAAGTACAGCGTATAAAGCTTTTTAATTTAGAAAACATAGGCATTTGATATTTCAGAGCCGTAAGTACTTGCTAGCATTTTGAATTATTGCAAAAGATCAGTAACAGAAAAAGTTATGCATTGTACTACAACACTACATCAATATAAAACAAGCAAGTGTTAGATGAGTTTACAATCGCAGAAAGAGCGCAGCTGAACGAATTGAAGTGGAAAGAGGATATCAGCAAACTAGAAGGACACTATGCTTGCAAATTTACTGTTTGGTCATATAATCCAGAAACCAAGTGCAGTATGACTGTGACGTTGCATTCGCGCAGTGTTAATACAATAATCAAACAGGGAGAAAGTCATGCATCTTAGATCCTGTTATCATGGATTGGTAATCCTTTCCGTAATTGTGTTGCAATAGTCTTCTCGCTACCAGATTTAGAATCAGCTTCCGTCCATTTATTGTATGTAATGTTATTGAAGATAACGGATTGACTGTGAATCTTCTGTATTCTTCAAAACTTTTAAAATTACCATTTACATTTGTGTTGTTCAGCTTACTATTTTTTGATAAGTTCGATTTGGAGTCATTGAAAGAATTTTTAATGTTTTTCTTCCGATTTTTATAAACGAAACGAGTTTTGGCCTATCGCTGTTTCGGTGAAGTTATAAGAGAATTTAATTTTTAAATGATAATGTTTGTTAATGCTCTTTCAGCGTTTTCAGTATCGCCGTTATTCAACAGAACGGCGTATGTAAACACTGCTAGATGTTTGTGGATGTAATGATGGAATTTGTGATAGAGAAGGGCAAGGCCTAGACGTAGAATGTTTCTGCGTTCAGCTGAACCTTTCACCCGTTAAAACGTTACTTTCATTACAGAAACGGTAACTAAAACGGGTATGGTACTGCTGTGCGGAGAAATAACATCGAAAGCGAATGTAGATTATCAAAGTGTGGTCAGAAATGCTGTCAAGCAAATTGGATTCGACGATTCAAGCAAGGGTCCGTCCGTCTTATCAGTGAATAATAGTAACGGGCCCGTAACTGAGATTAATTCAGTGGTTAGGTGGGATTAACCTCTGCAATTGAAACTATTTCTTCCAATGGGAGCGATTTCCACTGATTTGCTGGGAATTTCCATAAAAGGTGAATGAAAACATCTTCAAACTCCCACAGAATATTTTTNTTTTTCAAATGGGAATTTTCGCTTTTCCCTGATCGTCTATTCCGGTTACGGGCCTAATAATAATGAATGATGACCCACCTGGTTGGGTTTCATAATGTTTCCCCTACTTTCTGCATCAGTTCCATCGAAAATTTGAAATTCACTGCATCCGATCAGAATCTCAAAAGGATTGAATTAGAAAAAAACTGGGAAATAAGCATTGATGTAATTATTTTTGTCAGGCGATTACATATTGGAAGGAGATTAGTGAGAATATACTCTGCCATCGGAGATTGGTTAGGTTGAGAAATTTTTGAGTGTGACTGGGAAAGAAGGCGACCGTAAAATATGGTCGGTGGTTCGACAGCGAATTAAGTTACTGGAGAAATTCGCAGAGATATACATTCGGAATTTAAGAACTTTCTTATAAACTGTAGTAAATTCGAGAAGTGATGCGAGAAATGAGTGATAAACGCATGATTCGTTGAGCTTTTTCGCCTATGCAATGATACTAGGTATTGAGGATATAGCTGATGGTTCAGAAATGGGTTTGGGTCGGAAATGAGTTGAATGTTTTCTTCGGAAAGTAATTCTCAAAATTCAATAATATTTAGGATTTGACTATAAAACATGTAACGTTTTGGTGGCATTGGAGCAACAAGCACCAGAAATTGCGGCTGGAGTACATGTTAATCGTAAAGATGAGGATATTGGCGCCGGAGATCAGGTATTTCTTCGCTGATCGAATGTTAATGCATCTTGACGGCATTGATTTGCTCGCAATAGCAGTAGCACTGAGAATGATAATAGTGATAGCAATGTGAATGCTAATCACTGATTTCAATCACAGGGCCTTATGTTCGGTTACGCAACCGATGAAACCGAAGAATTAATGCCGTTATCGTTGGTTCTAGCACATAAGCTGCTAGCCCGTTTGCATGAGCTGAGACGAAGCAATACTCTGCAGTGGGCTTTACCCGACTCAAAATCGCAGGTACGATAGATGGCTATATCTTTGTTCTTATCAGTTCTCGTTGTTCACTCACCGTTGGTTCTTCAGTATGTATGAACCCTCTGTGGGTAGCACAATTGCTGGATAAGTCGGAAATTTTCACAGAAGCGAAGAAATTAAACGAATTAATCAACATCGAACATGAATCGAAACTTTCCAATCGCAATAAATTTAAGATTGACTCATTTGTAGGTAACAGTTGAATATAAATTCGATAAAGGTGCATGTGTACCATTGCGTGTTCACACAATCGTAATGTCGGCACAACACAAGGCAAGTTCATCACTCGAACAAATTCGATCGGACTTAGTCGAGCATGTCATTAAGGTTGGTTTTCCGTATTTTCTACTCCATCACTAACAATTACGATCGCAAAAAATGATTTGTTCTATATCGATGTTCATGATAATTTAGCCGTGTCGACTACAAACAGAACCGTAATAATAGAAGCCATAAGGTGAGACTAGTTCCCAATTGTGTTGAAGGCAGTGGTACCAGAGCACTTGTTGGACGAACAAACTTTATACTACTTGAATCCGTGTGGCAGTTTCAATATCGGTGGACCACAAAGTGACGCCGGTTTAACGGGGCGTAAAATTATCGTCGATACGTACGGTGGTTGGGGCGCGCATGGTGGCGGTGCTTTTTCGGGCAAAGATCCGACGAAGGTGAGTGACTATTCTGAGATATTTTCGACCATCCGTAGAATTCTTCGAACATTTCATTTTTGTATTATGTGTTAAGATTTCAGACGTCTTTGTCAAAATAATGTATCCGGATGTTTTACAAACTAATAATGAAATAATAGGCGAGGGTTATTCGCGAATGAATTATTAGACCGACGCATAATTTCATTAAGTTTTCAGGTTGACAGATCGGCGGCATACGGAGCTCGATGGGTCGCGAAATCGTTAGTTGCTGCGAAAGTCTGCCGACGATGCCTTGTTCAGGTTACTCATTGTTACCAGTGAATATCCGTTTGCCCATCAAAAATTTCTCATCTGTCGAAACCTCTTTTGAATGATCATCGAAGAGTAAGATTCATTCGCGGATGGACAATTAACCAGCTACGGCACAATTAAATAGTAGAAGCTACGATGAATGCAGGTTCTAATTTCTCGTAGAGGCTGATCAGGTTGTGTATAATAGCAATTTTTTGCAATTTTCAGGTTTCGTATGCAATCGGAATTTCACAACCGCTTTCAATCATGGTAATCAGCTACGGCACAAGTCCGCTAACCGAGGAGGAACTTCTAATGATCGTAAATGATAACTTTGACTTGCGACCAGGAATGCTGATTCGGTTAGTTGTTGACTCCATCAAATGTTTCATATTTTCAGCTCAACAGTGTTATCCAGACTTCATCTTCGTTGAGTAACCCACTGCGTTTATGACAAATGCTTTGAGACAGTTGACATTTCAAAGTAGTTATTTCTGGGTTATATGACAGGTTTTCATCCATTTTTTCACGATGTATCGGATGTATGAATACTGTATCGAGAAGGCATTGTGGAAAATAAGATCAAAGGAGCACAGTACACGTATAATTCGTTGTTCGTAAATATTGACGCATTAAAGAGAGATTGAAATTGTTGATAAGATTTGTCGAAGTGAAATTGAAAGACATCATCGAGCATGTCAACAAACAATTATGTCTGATGATTTCGATAGATATTCGCAGATTTTATCGTTTGGCATCGTCGCGAGACAGTGACGTGTGACGCCTTTGATGAATATCTTAAAGGGAACACAGCAATCGAATTGACGACAAAACATAGCAAAAATGCGTTCTTGCATTCCATCTGAAATGGTTTCCTATCAGCAGAACAAATCTCCGAATATGAACACCTGATTGTCTTATTTTCGGCATTTTTTCCGACATTCAGCGAAAAATTTCAAATTTTGAATTCAAAAAATTTGGATTATTCGCCAGAATCAATTTCCCATCTGCGTTTTAATCTTTCTCATCCCGAACAAATGAAAAAAAAGAGGAAATTCACTGTAAATGTTGTCTATTGGTTACCGTTGAAAGCGTATATTGCGCCCATACAATACAGGTTCAATCGAAGATATAGTTTACAGTTTAGTATCGTTTTCAGTGTGTTGGGAATGTGCGTCATTTATGATGAATGAGGAATGTTTTTAATATTTTAATACTTTTGAAATATCAACTTTCTGTTTGCGAAGTTTTTCACTGTTAGTGATAGCGATGCCCACTTCATTAAGAACAGCTTCCAACAAAAAATCGAGGACGATCAAGATAGAGGACTAGATAATAGATAAACTGTGAACAGTTGATGATTCCGTGATAACTGATTTAGCGTTATGGGCTTAGCTGAATATCTTCACATTACATTAATGAGAGTCTGATCCAGATAACGTAATGGAATTCATGTGAAAATATGGCTTACAGTTGAATGAACTCACGTGAATGTCAAGAGTTTCAGTGCAGCTGTTCGTCACCTGACTAATGATTAGTTATTGTTTAAAAATAGCATAAAGGTAGCTATGCATAGTGCAACGTTTCATCGGTTGCAGTGATCAGTGAATTTACAAACTGATTGATGAGTCTGAAATTGCAATTGATTGTCTCCAATGAGTGAGAATGCACTTTTTGCAGTTTGAACGAGCAACTGTCTGTTTCAGGATGAGTGTATTTGAGTGTCAAAATATTTTGTACGTAATTTTGAGCGGTTCCCTTAGTGTCACACAACGGAGTTGCCTTGCAGTGTTCTGTGATGAACAATCAAAAAAACGAGTGAGAACTGGAAAGATAGAATGAGTCTCTCAATCGGACTAAATAGTCCTTAAAAATGTTCAATGTTTGAGTTTCATATATTGTTGAAACCGGTTGAATTCGAGTATACGTGAGCGGAAATTTTCATACGCATATTTTTATGTTTCTTTTCGATGAGAGTATAAAATTTTGCATGTTTTTAGGGAATTGGGCTTGAGAAAGCCAATCTTCGCCGCAACAGCGCGTAACGGACATTTCGGCAATCCCAAATTCCCATGGGAGAAGCCCAAAGAATTGGTGATACGCCCATACCTGCTCGAGAAGATCAGCCAGGCTTCTTTGCCTAAAGTTGCTCCAACTGCGGATGCTTGAGCTGGCCGAAACCGTTCAATGAATACATTGTTAAGATAATATTCCGCAAAAAACCATTGAAAAACATAAATTATTTATAAATTTATACACCTCACTGTTTTTAAGTTGTCACTTCTTCCTGTATTCTTACGTGTCTATTTTTCTCTTCCTAATTGAAATCCGGAATTCATTGTTTAAAATCTTGTGATACATTGCGCATTAAAAAGTGGAACTAAGCAGAATCAACAAATACGAAAATACAAAGAAATACAAAATAACTTGAATCATCGTATCATTTCTAACGATTCCGAATTTTGAATCTTCGTATACATCGAAATTCTTTTTTCCGTTTATTGATGCGTTCAGTTTATAATTGATCTTTCTTTTTTGATTGTTATCGAAACGTCGTCATATGAAATCTCCGGATTTTGTGTGTCCAATTCCTTTTTCAATTCATTCTCGCAAGAGTTTGTTTGCAACGTCTCATTTGCCTCACTTCTGCTTATCTTCAGCCGTGAAGAGTGCAGTTTTATTTATTGTTATTTGAGCGAGCATTTGCTCTATTAATTCTAATCATTTTCAACCATTAATATCCATGATTTTCACGGATTAATTTATGTCGATTAAATGTTCAAAAAGTTCAAATTTCCGCCGCTCATCGATGATTGGAAAGGATCAAGAAAGGCGATTGCTTTGATACAATATTAGGGCTGAGAGAAAAGCGACGTAACGGATTCATTAGATGAGGCATCAGATGGGTCATTTTCAGTTGAGTTCATAACATCAAAACCTCACTGGTTGCGTGATTATATGATCTGTTCAGTGAGCTGTATAAATGCTGCATTATTGTTTATATGAGACGCTGACGATTGATCATTTGACGAACGGTTGTCATTGAAATATATCGGGGTATGTGAGAGAATAGTGCCAAAAACGTGATCAATCGAATCACAAATAGCCTTATTTTAGAACATCTACGCAGAGAGGAACAATTCGATGTAAGATATAATTATCATGAAGCCATCGATGATCTGTGGTTTTTGAATCTTTTCGAAGGGTGACAAACAATCGTTCAGATTAAATCACAATTGCAATCTTCGACGAAGAGCGATTTAGTCCGCGTCAACATTGAAAAGAGTTGTATTGACATTTTTCAGTTATACCAAAGGATGTTTTAGACATACTTTGACCTTCAAGCAGATTATTTTGTTATGAAATATTTTATGTTTACAATCGGTAAATTTTCACCTGCCTAAATAGTTTCTGATAGTTTTCATATCGTCAGATGTTTGAGAGAAGAATTTTTTGTTGGAAATTTGACAAGCGTTTGGTAAAATTGTTGAATTTGTAGATGATTGTTATATGTTTGTTTTGCTTTTCTTTTCATTTTCAGTGTTGTTTTGCATATGAACGATACATTTTTTTGTCGGTTATTTGATTTGATTCATATGTTACAACAGGAAGTATGNTGGGAAATTGTCGAACTAATGGGTGCGATCTTCTTTGAAGTTTCTCATTTTTGGTGTGATAGCATTCAGTGCGGAAAGGTTAGTGGTAGAATCTGACAACAGCAGTCGCCTGAGCTGATACTTTCAGACAGATACAGATAACCTTTCACGTTTCAGTGGAATCAGATATCTTTCCGAAATATCCTTCACACTTCAGTCGAATACAGCAAGTTTTGGAAAGTTGGGAACTTAATAAAGGAGTGATTGCTCGCAAGGCATAACAGACGTTTTGCTAGCTTCTTACGATTAGACAGAATCGCATATCAAATAACATCAAATGAACATGAATGAAAAGTAAATAGGTGTTGCTATTCAAAATCTTGGTATAGGATCAAGTCATCTATATTTCTGGCTAACAGAAACTCGAAACTAGAATTCGTCCGATCTAATTCAGTGTGGAAAGGTTGTTGATAGAATCAGACAGCACCAGTCGACTGAGCTTTTTTTGGCCTGGAGGCGGGGAGGGGGGAGGGGGAGAACCCCGTCGGGGAGCGAAGTTGTCGAATAACAGAGCTCCGGCCCTCCCACGAGCACAACTCGAAACAGCATTACTTTAACTTATTGACAATGAGATATGCAAATACATAGAATATCAGGAGAAACTCAACGGATAAATTCTCAGGTTATATCATACCATCTTAATCAGTCCAGTGTTTCCACTTTAATGAATGCTGTATTGTGAACGTGACCAAACGAGACCATGTGAAGCGATATTTATTCGATCACTCATAAACCATTTGTACAAATAGACAACTAATATTAGCGACAGCAATACGTGTAATGAGCAAAAACAAAATCATCGCCCTATTTTTTGACCACTTTCACGGGTGCACAATCGAACTTCCCTCGAATTATATTCGCCTTCACCGCAATCAAATCACGTCGTCGACCACCCTTCACCAGCACCTTCAAACAGAACAAAGTGAGAACTCAGCTATACAATCAGTCATGGAATTTCCTTGATCTCATACACGATTTCAACTTCGGATTCTTAGCCTCTCAATTACTAAACCTTAACACAGTTACTATGCGAATAACCCGAATGGGTCATCTGTAGCCTGATTCATTTCCTTCAGCATCGCTCTTTTGTTTATCTTGTGGCTCGATGACTAAATAAATAGAAACAAGCCAAATCATAGCCTGGCTAAGGCTCGATAATACTAATGACGTTGGTACGCCATTCGCTTTTGCGCAAGGCTTGGACCACCAGTGATTGGAGCTTACGTTCTTGTTCTCTTCACATCTCGGCTGAGCCTCAACTTCAGTAATCAATTTCCATTTTTTCATCAATATCAGAGTACAAAAAACAAAATATACAAATTGAAAATCCGACAGTTTGAATACGATAGCAATAATCAACGAACTTGTGAATGTTCCTGGAGATTATGCCCAATGCCAGGGATATATGCACAGATTTCCGCCCCCGTACTCAATCGAACAATCGCACATTTACGATTGCCGGAATTTGGCTTTTTTGGATGTCGAATTACGGCTGAATAGTAGATTGCAATATTCACATACACACATTGCTAACAGATCATGAAATGATCTTTAAATAGTGGAAAAAACCTCAATGAGCAATTGTAACCATNTTAGAAAAGGATTAGAAGAGAGGAGAAATTGAAGTTGACGCGCACTACGGAAAAGAAATTATGTCAACAAACATGCATAAAAAATTAGTCGACTATAACTTTAACAGTGCGATTTTAACGGTAGTATCCGACAAAAGACTACGGCTTCAATTGTAAGTGTTAAAACTCTATTGCCGCTGAGCACGACTGACACCAAAGAGCAGCAGCACCTACTTTTGAGAACGATTCCTTTCAGGTGATTATATCCACTCATAACACTTTTGTCTTTACTGCGACTCCGTCGTTCCGGTGGGCCATTACGATAGTGGATGAACTAGAAATCGCTTTCAAATCACATCAAATACTATGACTTAAATCGCTTTCAAACAACTGTTTCTAATTGAGATCCCTCGAGTCGTTACTTTTATCACTAGCAATCACAATAATGTCATGAAACTTCGTCAGTAATGTTTCATACAACGAATGCTTTCTCGCAGTCGTAAGTTTTCGAGTTTCACTATTGTTAAACTAACAAAAAGTTGCCAGGCAATCCACTTCATTCGTCTATCAAGTATGAATTTTAAATTGAATAGGATATTAACTGTTTTAAATTATACCTGCAAAAAATTCTCTCTCAAAGCAACGCAAGAGCTATGAAAATTCGAATTACACTGCAAATAATAGGACGGATTCGGGAGACTAGATTTCATAGATGCATTTTTGCAAACACCATATGTAATCGTGTTAACGACTGATCGAGTTGCACAAATGAACCGATGTAAATTCATTTAAAAATGCTGAAAACCAAAAAAACTTATGAAAATGAATGAAACGAATACCACTCTGCATTTATTTCATTTAAAATTTTAAAAGGACAATAAATGTCATTATTTACTACTGTTATTAACAATATCAGATCTCTCATGAGGATAAATGGTATTTTGTTGACAGAATGTGATCACATCCTTAATGTTGCAAAACAGAAAATGTCTTAATCTTCCCAAAAAAACAGAAAATTGAGAAGCTAATCAAGTAAAAAGGCATTAAGTAGCTCAAGTTTGAGGTACTCTGATTTATGGAATTGAAAACCAATAAAAAGCATCTAGGCAAACGCGACTGAATTACAGCAAAATACTGATGAATAGTATTTATCAACCAACTCAATTTACAATTCAATTAACATAACAATACCAAAAAATTTCACCTTTAACAATGGAAATATTATCTCATTACTTATTCACAACACTTTCCTTGTTCAAACAAATTGCTTGCACATATATAATCAACTCAAAATTTAACAATTTATATTTACAAAATTCAACAACAAACTTCAACGAATATTTGTATAACCGTTTCAACATTTCATCACACATAGAGACTTGATTTCATCTCAAAAGTGCAAAAAATGAGTAAGCAAATAATACCAGCAACACATCATCGTAGAGGTCGACATTCACAACAAGATTGAAGTCAATTTTGACAAGAAAAAAAAAACCCTGGGCTTCTCTAAATGTCTTTTTTAACTGATCGTCGATCAAAATCCAATAAACGAATGACATCGAAAAACATAATTAAGATTCCCAATTCAACATGTGATCAACAATCGTTTGCATTGTTTCAGGACACGTCAGTGCATCTAAGAAACGTCTTGTTTCCAAATATTTTCGGGAAGAAGCAGTCTCATTCTGTTTCTGATCGTTCAATTCACTATCATCCAACTCGAGTGGTCCACTCCTTAGTTCTTTCAGCAAATTTTCATAACTGATCGATGGAACTGTAATGCCAGAATCTTCGTATCGCTTCAAGAAGACATGCAATTGACCAGCATCCTTTTCGGTCGATGAGATTTTAACCTTAAAATCAAAATCAATTAAAGACAATATCTATCACTTTCTCCATCAAATGATATCCATTGGATTGTTATTCGGAACATCATTAATGAACGACAAGCTCGAATGCGACACTGGCAGTCCTTGAGAAAAAAAGTATAACACTGAAGAATTCAATCCAAAACGTACCTCACACGAATTGTCAGCTTGGTCACATTTCAAGCGTTTCGATGAAGGCGGCTCACCGCTCTACAATACATAAAACAAGTTGAATTTGCAGGTTAAAACTGAATGAAACGAGAAATGATATTCAATATTCAGATTTTTGGGAAAAAAAAAGAACCCGAAATATTTTAAGTTCACAAGAAATTTCTCCCAGCAACATCGATAGTTTCAAAACATTAACGAATGGAAGCACCAGCTGTATCATTAAAAGTAACTGAGCAGATGAATAAATAAATGTATAAATTTTGTCTCTTAATGGACCACTCATCGAACATTTTTCTGACGTTATAATCTGACAATGAGTAGATTTGCAATGAAATGTAGAACCAACGGACAAAGTGATGCTGAAAACTTAAAGATAAGTACCAATGTCGTGTTTCCCACTGCATTCTCGGATGTGGTTTCGTCATCCTCCTCATCGCAGTCCGTTTTTAAATCATCAATGACTGCTCCCAAGACGTCCATCGAATCTCCCAAACACAACGCTGATTCAGAAGGACACAAATCAGCAGTCTTGATCAGCTGACATTCAGCCAATAAAGAAACCTGAATAAAACAAACTTCTTGNTTGACCAACTCAAAGTGACATAAAGGAGTTTTTGGCTGTTACTTTCCTAAACAAGGATATCTCTCAAAGCATCGCAGCTCCTCGTTTCAGCTTCCAGATACTGATCACTTCACAGTTGTGCTCTGCATATACACCGTTCTTCCTCACAGTACAATTTCAGAGCTCACAAAACCAATCTCAATTAATGGCGTAATGAATCGCGTTCCGAACGTCTCACAACTATCCCATTCATGAGTCGTCTCTAAAACTGTACATACACGTGGACCTTCTTGCCTTTCAAAAAACAACGACAAACCTAAGAGGAATTCACCGTTCAAGTGCCGTGTAAACAACTCCAAATGTACACAGAACATAACTTACGATGGCAGAGGCTGCTGCTTCGCGAGCTCGACCGATTCGATCAAAAATCGGCACCGGTATCCATGTGTTCACCGAAACACTGACGGCATCCTTGCTGACCAGGTCACATCCCCCCGGTGTAACACACTGAACACTATGCCACCAACCAGGTGGCACGAATAGTACGTCACCGCGATTTAGAGTCACCGTTCTCAGCGGTACATCTTTCAGATACGGATCGCCACCGATAACATCAACACGACTGCAAAAATTTCCACTTTAGAAAGCTTGACGGCAATAAATCAGCTTAATCGAAGCTATCGATGTAAGATAGTCTATCTGGAGATTGCAACTGATCAAAATTGCCATTTCATCTGATGATCCATTCACGATTGTATGCCACTTTTTGGGGACTAACAGTTAATCGGCAACATGAAGTCCTATTCCAAATGGCATAACATTTTTGATTTATCCCAACGCAATCAGCGAATAACAAATGATCGAACGTTATCCACAACTCAACGCTGGGATTATGAAAATTATGAGTGGGCAGCAATGAATCAATGAATAGAAGGTAGATACTACATTTAAAATTTTGTTGCAGCTACCTGCAACACTAGAGGAATGTTTCGTGTGGAATTTCTAATAATGCACTGAAAACTCAATGTTCACTGCAAAAAAAAAGAGGAACAGTTGGTGAAAGCTGATAGATTCAGTGAAGGTAGCAACCTGAAAACAGTCGACTCTTCGTATGGGATCCTTGTTGGTTTCATTTCTTCTTGCGGCTCCATTAAGATCCATCGTTTCGCACCGTGTAACTGAGCGTGTAAATTGAAGCCATACGAGTCGAAATGGCATGGTGTGTAGGCACCCGGTGTTCCTTTAGACCACTGATTTCACTTTACTGTTACAACATTCATTAAAGCATCCCATATAATCAAAAGGATGACATTCCAATTAGGTAAAAATCCAATAAACGACGATTTATCCACTTCGAAAAGGATGAAAAAACAAACAGAAAACTGATTGGAAGAACTCGAAATATGCGAAGCTCTCGATTAGGATCGGATAGGAAAAGTATCAACGTTGGGATTATTCTGAAGCAGTCATCGTAAACAAGGAAAAACTCAATACAAAGAGCTAAAGAAGTTGGGTGAATAGAGAATTCAAAAACTGGAGTATGAGTAGATAAGAGATTTACCTACCAATCCAAATCGTAGAATCAACTGGATTCACGTTAACCCCAAATACTTTCCAGTCAATATCGTTGATTCGCTCAGGGTTCATCACTTCAAAAACGTACTTGTAATCAAAATATGCCCAGTGTGTGTCTCGTTGTATTTGACTGTCAGCGTTATCGTCATCTTTGCAAAATGGCACATCATCAATGAACCATTTCAGCATATCATCCAGTTTTTTGATCGACAAATACTTGGATTCATTCTCGAAGAGAACCTTCAAAGTATTCTCTTATTAATCGCACAAATTCTCTTCTTTAACAATCAAACAATGCTTAAAATCTGACAGTACCGAGAATGATCGTTTCACAATACGAACATATCTCCGGTGTGTCAATATGCGATTTACGGAAAGAAAAAAAAAACAAATGTATGCCATCTTTTGGGGACTTGTAGTTATCACATAACAAAACTAAAGTCCTATTCCAGATGGCAAAAAACCTCAATTTATCCCAACGTAATTAGTAAATAACATCTATGTAAACGTTATTTACGACTCAAAGTTGGGATGTAAACATCAAAAAAGGAAAAACTGAATGCAGAGAGCCGAAGAAGGTGGGTGAATAAAGAATTCAAACTGAGAAGTTGAATTATTTAAAGCAGGATTTTCTAACTAATTGATGCTAAATGCTCAAATACAATTGAGTGCAGACAGTGAAAATTTGAATTATATTTTAGAAATAATACAAAAGAGCGAAATAGTCGCATATATGATAAATAATTAACGACAACAAATAAACAGAAATCATTCATTTTAAGGGAAAATAAAGTTTTGAGAAGGCAACTTTGAAAACATACATTTCCTCTGATATGCTTCCTTGATCCGAAACGTAGTTTCAGATGCTTCGTAGTCGATGTGGGTCGCACGTAGTCACATAAAGTTTCCGGCGTCCATTTCATTGCAGGCCATTCGTCTATATATCCACGTAGCACAAACGGTTCCATATTCCCAAGTCTCAAGATGATCACAATTATATGAAATTTAGCTACTAATTCTGCATCACGAAGACATTTTCAGTTGTATTTTGCAATGACTATAACAACGAAAAATCTTCGGAACAACTGAGAAAACCTAACCAAGGATAACGTAAGGTAAATTTCAAGCGGTAGAAGATGAACAGAACATCTAAGGCCTCTAACACGTAATTAGTAAATTTCTGCACCACGAAAAACCGCAAAAAAGCTGAAGTTACCTTCAGACAAAAATTGAACTTTTGACTTTTAACATATAGACTCAAACGAAGAAAACTGATTAAAGAGTGGGTTCCTGTAACTGAACATAACAACGTGAAGAGGTATTTATGTGAACGAATATATGAAACTGTAGTCAATCAATCACTTGTAATGCGTGAATAACGTTAGAATAAATTTATTTCATCGATACTAATCAATACAATTACACGGTTGACACTCAAGAAGACAATAATAATATTGCTGTTTAAACTAGAAAAAACAATAAAGAATGACTGGATTGGTCATCACTATCACTGCTCATGCATCGGGAATTGCATTAAGTCCGGAGATGACATATTGATTTCCTGTCAAACGATGGTCACGCTGACTTAGTTGAATCCTGAAATTGTTACTGTTGCCAATGATTTTTCCGGTACAAAAAAATGCAAAGAAAAAACCACCTAACAAAACCAACAATAACAGATATGATGGGGAATTGTAGACGAGAATATTATTAATAGTATTAATGAGAGAGGTATAATACGAATAAAAGTAACCGTACCGATAATGTTTCACCCATTTTGAGCACTTATGTTAACTTTAGACGGAGATCAAACAAATGTTTATCTATTGATGATATTCACATAAGAGAAAATAATAATAACGGGATGTTTCGGCGCAGAATAATTAATAATAACAATAATGTCAAGAACGTAAAGTCACGTTCAATTATGCCTTTATCGGAGAGTTATCAAAGTCGAAGTAAGGTCATGTCCTAGGTTAGCTGAATACGCTTGAAATCCAACTATTCCACGAGTCAAAAGCATGACTGAAGCTCAATGCTAAAGCAAAACTTGAAAGTAGTAAAATGGCATATTAACCTTTCGAGGTTTCCGTAATTTCGTCGGTAAGCACGGTGAACATCGAGACGATTGAAAGGATACGACATCAGGCAAGCACCCCAGACGAAGAATATCGTTATTGCTCCCGAATATAACTGCTCATACCACATGTTTCGTACGAATCGAGACGGCTAAAAATACTCATTTATCCGGCAATTTCATTAAACGTTGAACCTTTAAACGTCAAACACTGAACCAAACTCTTGGCCTTAGACTTAGACTGACTGAAGAAATTCACGGACTGAAGTGAAAAGGTACTTGAGATTGCTGAAAGGAATTCACTCTGAATTGAACATTCCGTGAAAATTGAAAAATCAAATGGATCAATAAGAATAAACTTGTGATCAGTCTTTTTGCCACCGTTTATTCAGTCAGCTTTCTGCATCGGCGTCGTCGCACTTCGCCATAAAAACGCGTCTGAGCGCAGGGGC